ATTTTTCAGAGTTATTGTCTGAATCCCGATATACATGCTAAAAGGTAGAACTTCCTAAAGTTTTGTCCATGAATGTATGAATCAGGTAAATTGGGAATAACTTTGGCAGTTCATAAGACAAATAAATATTCCTTCGGATTACAAAAAATGTGCTTTTTTTCGTTCCAATCCATGTTCATTTAAAATGTAACAATGAACAAATGTAGCAGTGTACAATGTAGCAGTGTAATGATGAACAATAATCAAAAATTCGAAATTCGAGCAGCCATCATCGTTGCTCTGCGCGCCGGGCCCCAAAGAGATAGTGGACTTTCTTAAGTTGCCCAAAACCACTGTTTATCGTGGCAATAAGCAGTTTTATGAGACCAACGGTAACAATGAGGGAATAGCTGCAAGGAAAAAAAACGCTCGCGTCGAAAAAACAGTGTAAGAGGCGAAGAATTTGTCAAAAAAGTCAAGGAGAAGATTGATGGGAACCCTGGTAAGAACATAAGGATCATAGCCAAGGAAATAGGCATTGGCTCTATGAAACTTGTCAGAACTATTCATAATGACCTTGGTCTCAAGTTTTACGCCCTTCAGAAAGGCCAGTTGTTGACTGATAATATGAAGGATAACATAAAAGGGAAGGCTGCTCCCATTCTCAACAATCTGAAACATGACTCTTGTGTCATGCTGAGGTTCTCTCTGATGATAAGAAATTTCACGTGGACCAAAAGGTAAATCCCAGGAATGATCGTTGGATCTGTAACCCCATAAAGGTACTGTCGTGATGCACATGGAATCTCCTGCCTCCGTGATGTTCCTTGGCGTTATCAACAGTAAAGTTGGTGTCAGGCCTCCCCATTTCTTTGAGAAGGGTTTTAGGAGTAACGTTGACACCTACACCAATGTCCTGGAGATAGTTATGAGACCTTGGATGGACATGGTGACTGCAGGAAGGAAGTATGTCTTCCAACAGGACGCAGCTCCAGCCACAAGGCACAAAAGACACAATCGTGGCTGACACTTAACATCCCCAGTCAGTGTAGTCCTGATATTTGGACCCCAACTCTTTAGACTATAACCCCTTCGACTACTATGTATGAGGCGTTGTTGAGAGAGATGTCAACAAAGCTCCCTACCATACCATCCAGTCTGTAAAGAAAGCGGTTAACTCAGTGATGACCCAAATGGACGAGGTCTTCGTCGCCTCGAGACTGTTATAGCTAATAATAGAAACTAAATTTAAAGCTACAAATAACCTAAATGATTAAATAAATAGGGAGGCATGACATCAATTTCACTGCTGATAACACCGAGGAGCATCACGGAAGCAAGACATTTTGTGTGCATCACGACAGGTACCTTTATGGGGTTATTACAAATCCAGCGTTTATTCCTGGGATTTACCTTTTGGTCCACGTCAAAGTTCTTTTATCAGAGAAGAACCTCAGCATACCACAAGAGTCATGTTTCAGGTTGTTGAGGAAGGCAGCAGCCTTTCCTTTTATGTTATCCTTCATGCTCTCAGTCAACAAATGGCCTTTGCGAAGGGCAAAATACTCGAGCCAAGGTCATTATAAATAGTTCTGACAATTGTCATAGAGCCAACGTCCATTTCATTGACTTTGGCCTTCATGTTCTTCCACGGATTTTCATCAATCTTCTTCGTGACATTTTGACAAATTCTTCGCCTCTTACACTGTCTGATCGACGCGAGTGAATTTTCCTTGCAGCCAATTAAATAAATATCGTTCATTCATTCTTTGTTACTGTTGGCCTCATCAAACTGCTTCTTGACACAATAAACAGTGATTTTGGGCAACTTAAGAAAGTCCACTATCTCTTTTGGGCCCGGTGCGCATAGCAACTATGATGGCTGCTCAATTTTCTAATTCTCGATTAATGTTCATCATTACACTGCAAAGACATGAGCTGTTACATTTTACATGAATATGGCTACGGAATGAAAACAAAGCATTTTTAAAAAATATAAAATAGTAATTGTCTTATAGACTGCTGTCTAAGTTGTTCCTAATTTGCCTGATACATCCTGTAGTTCACAAGATCCACGCGGAAGTCATTAAATATTCAAAATCAGCCAAAGAGGTCTTCATAGCTATAGAAATGGCTGATCTAATTCTATGACCAAAACATGACTTTTCCCATTTGAATTCTCGTTAAAGACACCCCTTCCTCTTTGACATTTATAATGTAATACAGAATATTTATTATTTTAAATAACAGAAATCATTAATTTTGATATTCAGCATATTTATATTTTTGCTTCTCGTTTTGATCAAAATAAATTGCTTTGTCATCCTCATGATTGTCTTCTCTCATTTTTCTACGTAATATTTTTAAAGGCAAAAAAGTTTGGTCATTATAACGTTTTCTTTAAAGAACAAAAAAGAAAAAATAACAAAGATACAAAATATATTTAGAATGCATAAATCAATTCGATTACATTTGATCAAATTTATAAACCATGTTCACATTTATTTTGATCTTCTTCTTCTTTCTTATCTCCACTCAATCATATCATGGTATCAAGCTTGTAAAGCTTAAGACTTTTGATGGTGTCTGCCGGGGAAGAGTAGAGCTCATCAATGGATGAGTCAATACAGTCTGTAATATATAATATGTTTATATGGTTTTGACCAAGGACTTGGTTGTTGTTGCGTGATGTAATCAATATATGGCGCGATATATTAATGTCGCGCGATATGATAATTCTGTAATAATAAAATATTATACAAATATATAACAGTAGCATACAATCTATTTTAATAGAAACTACACTACCTAAGATTGTTGAATATTAGGTAGAAGAGTACATAATACAGTCAATAATGTGTTTTGGGGTTGCAGGTTGAGAATTGCACTTAGTACATAGTGGGAAAACCTTGCAACCATTCTGGAAATCCTGAAGATAGAGGCTGCCTAGCCAGCATTCACATTTCTATGAAAGATAGACACCTCAGCCAGTTAGAGTTTTTTATTTTCTCAATGTTTCGACAAAAATTCTGGAAAGTCATTGTCCGTAGATGACTATTTTGATCTTGAACCTGTAAAATGAACTTGTCATGTTTTCACAGCCGGTTATCTATTGGGTAGAAACAATTCAAACTTATCAGGTTTATCATTGTCATATTGTTGATAAGCAGAACAACTCCGCTCTGGTTTCAATGTCGGTCAGTCTAGATCCGGTACAACAATCCATTGGTCAAAAGTTTAATTCCTTGAAATTCATTCAAAAGCTCCTTCCTATAAAAATCAGAGATAGTGTAGCCGCGTATTCCATGTTGAAACTAGGCCGGTTTGATCTAATAATTCATTATTTATTCAATGAACAGCACCTTGGTACTTTGCTAGAGTGCATTGCGGTTTGTCTGCTTGCCTTTTGGGCTAAAAAAGCATGAACTTTAGTTAGTAGCCCGTAAGCCATATTCTCTCTTATTCTATAAAAATAAAGGTCACCTCCCCCGTCAAAATATAACTCAAAACTATAGTCTGCCATATATTGACTGTCTCCGAAAACTAGCGAAATCAAGTCGGTGACAAAGCCACAACACCAGCTTTAGCAAACTGAGAAGCGTCCACCTAGAAACCATAATTTCGGGCTAATGACCGTCGTTAATCCAGCACTAGTTTTAATTCCATGAGATCCACAAGGGATCAAATGAAACATTCACAACTGCCAAACATGTGTTAAGCTGTCAAAATGGATAGGCCATATCTAGGGCTAAAATGATGGAAATTTTCCTGGGGGAAATTAACCTAATAAATAAAGGTCGTCTCTCCTGTCAAAATAGACGCAAAAACTAAACGCCATCTATTGACCATCTTCGCAAATTAGCGGACTCAGGTCGATGGCAAAGCCACAATACCAGCTTTGACCTAGCCACTTTGCCAACTAAACACCTCTTTTACAGATTGTGAAGATTTCACTTGATCCCTTGGGGAGATCTCATGAAATAAAGTGCACCCTGGAATAACAAAGGCCATTATCCCGAAATCATGGTCTCCAGGTGAACGATTCTTAGTTTGTCAAAACTGATGTTGTTGCTTTGTCACTGACCTGATTGCGCCATTTTGCGGAGATGGTCAATAGATGGCGTCTATTTTGACAAGAGGGGCGACCTTTATATATCAATATACTTCTCTGGCTAAATTTTCATCTATATCATTATTTATTATTACTTTGGGGGGGTCGGTGGAAGGCTGGTTAAACCGTTTGGTTTTCGACCACTACGACCCGGGTTCGATTCCCGCATTGGAAACTTTTTTCTTGAAAAAAAAAATGCTTCAATTGCCCCCGATTCTTGCAAAAGTCCAACCCCCACCAGCGAGTGCAAGTAACCAAACGGGGCTCTGGCACATTTGTAAGTGCAAAGTCGAACTGCTTTTCACTTGTGTAGACATGTGGTGCGCTTACAGTAAAAGCAGTCGCTAACTACCCACCATGATTATCATGGCCTGTACCACGTGTACTAGGGATAATTAAAAATATATATTACTTTTATTGGTATACTAGAGCACGTCACAACATGCGATGATACATTCCAAGAAGAAGAATCCAACCTAAAACAGCAGTGTGTCGACGTAATAAAACCGAGCTCACGCCACTAAAACTAATCATTACAGAATAACAAGATCAAGTATTAGATCTCTATAATACAAAGATATTTAAAAGCCAAATAAAAATATGATTTCTAAATACAACTCAGAAATATATATATATTTATATTTTAAAAGTACGGAGAAAATGGCAAAAATATTCCACGACTGCATACCAATACCATAATACACGTGTATACTGAAGCAGCAAATAATCATCTCAGCAATTTATTATAACATATATATAAAGCCAAATATCAGGGAACAGGCTAAATCAATGTTTAGTTGATTTCTGTTCCACCAGATGGCGCTCTGCCTTCTTTAAAGCACATGTGCTCCTGGTCAGGATATGCCATTTTTAATATTGATTTCAACACCTGATCTTTTTATCTTTTTTTTCTTTCTTTCGTTTTTTTAATCGAACCCGGGCCGCCCGCGTGGAAGGCGAGCATTCTACCACTGAACCACCGATGGTTATGAGAAACGGCCATATTTGGGTATTTATTCCATTCACAAAAGCAAACGGCGACAGAATTGATTAAGAAAGAATTGCTTATGACGCTGATAACTGTATATATTAATTAAGGAAAAAAGTCATATCCTTTTCGTGCAACTGAAAGTTGCTGATGGCTTGCGTCATCTATCGGAATAAATATCAACTATTCGTTAATGGCGCAAATAATCAGCTACTTTCAGTTGCACGATAAGGAGATGCCTTTTCCCAGTACAACATCTCATTTGTACTATTTTTCATATATATATTACTAATTATTACAACTGTCCGTCAGCGACGATGAAATGTTCTCCTACCAGGTCTCAACTGCTTCAAACACTATCTTCAACCAAAGACGTCGCCAAGTCCTTGAGGAGCTAGTTCCTCCAGCTACAAGGCCATGTTCAATTTAAAACCAATTATCTGGCACATCGTAAAACTTTGGAAACTTTTTTATAGATTTCCTCTTTAAATGAATGCCACTGGAGTACCTCTACGTTGAATCGATTGTACAGGTTGCCAAATATGGTAATGGGAGTTCTCCCCAAAGTTCTCTATCAACCAAAACATCTCTTTCACACAGCAGAATATACCAACATTTCCCAATGTGTTAGTAATAACGACTCACTATAATGTAAAACAAGCATTTGTTGTTGTTGTCGTGTTCAATGAAGAGCCTCAGATGTCTCCATGCATTTCTATCATAGCAGTAGCAATTTTAACTATATTTTGCTCTTCATTGGAAAAATGGGTGCCGTTGCCACGTTAGTCACCTTGGAAACGAAACAGAATTTGGTCAAATATTCCAAGGGTCCAGGGAGGACCGACCGCAGGGAGGTGTGGTCGGACTTCTACCCCCCAAACAAGCATTTAAATTCATTATTTGATATTGTCGCGGAGATAAATAAAGCAAGGGCAAGTTTGGGGATAATTAATTTATTATAAGGGGTATTTATAGGGAGAGGGAAAATGTACAACTTACCCCCAAGTTAAAGTTAATCCTAATGAGGGACGTCAGCTCCCCCCGCCGGCCAGATTCCCAGAACCCCTCACACCCGGTGTCCAGGGATGATTGACAGACGTCCCATGGGGCCTCTCGTGGTTGGAGCCACTGAGCTTCTTGACAATATAATATAAAGTTGTGCGGGAGGATGATATTCATGTACCAAAAGAGGAACCTCTCCCTTTAATTGAGCATCAGAAAGAGGCACTGTTCATCACTCTAGTAAAAAAATTTACTAAGGATGATAAAGAATGACCAACAACACCAGTTTAGGCAAATTCAGACAAAAAGCCAACCTGTATACCATGGTTTCATACTATGGCCCTCATCAGTACAGGGACGGCTTCGATTTCATAACATCTTCGACAGGAGTTATGAATTTTATCTTTCTCATAACCTCTCATGTAAAATGTTATGAAATCGAAGCCGCTCCGATACTGATGAGGGCTAAATCCCGAAACCATGGTATACAGCATGAGTCCATATCTCAGAAGAAGGCCAAGTGACACTCACTCCTCACTTTCTTACTGCTACTCTTTTTGTGTTGTTTTTCTTGCTTCCCTCTTTCTCTTTCTAATTTTTTTCTTTTTTTTTTCTTCTGTCTACATCGTTGTTTCCTTTGTCTCACTGCTTTGTTCTTATGCATACCTCTGGTGAATCCTGTATAGGGTCAGTGACCCTAAATAAAGGCTTTTTTGTTGTTTGTTGTTGTTGGTATACAGCGTGAAAAAAATAGTACAAATATAATATTGTACAGGGATAAGGTTCATAAATTAATTCATGGTATATAGGTTAGCTTTTTGTCTTAATTTTCCAAAACTGATGTTGTGGCTCATTCTTTGTCATCACTAGTGCAAATTTTTTACTAGAGTGATGAACAGTGCATTGTTCTGATGCACAATTAAAGGGAGAGGTTTCTCTTTTAATACACACACAAAAAAACCTTTATTAAGACACATTGGTCTTACAGAGTATTCTCCTTGGGGTTACAAGACGGAGAAACCTATGAAAGTGGGAAATATACAAAGGTGTAAAAATGGAGAATGATTATATACACATGATAAATATATACCGATTATTATTATTTGAATGATCCTATGGAAAATATGGAAATATGGATTTAGAAGAAAACAAATTTTTGGAAATATGGATGGAAGAAGTGGAGAGCGAAAAGAGGAAAGAAAACAGGTATTTACACATGGAACATACATATAATGGAACAAGTCAATTTAAGCTCTTCTGCTCACACAGCACAGGTGGACCATGGCTTTTTTCAAAAAATCTTTAAGAGATTTTCCAGGAAAATCCGAGTGTTCAGAGTTCTCTTTTAATACATTATTTAATATATCTAAGTTGACATAGACACAATAATTTAGGTAATATAAAGGCCTACATGGACAAATAAATCTTTTTTTTTTTTAATCCAATATATACCTTTTTATTATTTAAAGAATCAATTAGGGACTGCTCTATATTTAAAAAATAGATAATAATCCTATAAAATAAGAATATAATGAGGAGACTAATGCAGAATATATAAGAGAATTTAAGCACTTCGTACTCAGCTATAAAATAGTTCTGCATTAATTCTGAAAGAGTTGAGATGTCCTCATCACCTTGGACTACCCACAGTACAAGTGTAAAATGACATTGGAAAATTATCCCGCACGTGTTTCTTTTGAACGAAAAATTCGAAATTTATTTAAAGGAGAAATAACGATTATTTCTAACCTTAGGGATGAGGTATGAAAGGATGAATTGTGAAGAGTAATGATAAACGGAAAAATAAAGTGCCCAGGGATGGGAATCGAACCCACAGTGTTCCGATTACCGGGCAGATGAAACTGTTTATTAGAGAAAAAGAAAGTTTAAACTGAGTTTATAGATAGGTAGATAACACAATTTTAAATTAGAGCATTGTTCTCTGGTCTCCATGTCGCTGACTGCAGCCGCTAAGTTTATCGCTAGCTTAGTTAAAGTTAGTTTCAGGTTAACTTGCATTTGTTCTGTAAGCAATGTGTGAAATTGAAACTAATTTATTACAACGTCCATATAAGGTTATATAAGGTTAAATACAATATTGAAAATGAATATGAATAAATAAGGAACAATAATGATGAATATATGGATAAGCTAAATATAAATACAGTTAAACCTGTCTATAGCGCCCCCTCTTGGGACTCACCAAAATAGGGTGCTATAGACAGGTCACTTTTAATGTAAATCGCATTGTACTACGTATTTAAAATCGGGCGCTTTAGAGAGGGAGGCGCTATTCATAGGGGGCGCTATAGACAGGTTTGACTGTATCTATATTAATAAAATGCAAATTTCATAAGTGGTGTTCGTTAAAAACTTTCGTTACAATGCATCAATTTCGACCAAATTTTCAACATTTATGTAAAACGAGATGGAGCAGGTTTTGCTTAACATCAAAATATTTTTCCTAACTTTAACATGCGTAACTTCGCTGTTATCGATTGAATACAAAAAAATCAACAGAGTTAATTTTATTTATATATAAATACAAAAAAAAATTCAGCAATTCATTCAACTCAATCTAAAAAAATATTCAAAACAAGCAATTTTAAGATAACACCATATGTAAAACAGTCGGCCAAGAAAACAACAACGATATTATATCTTTCTCACATATTCACACACAATCTTGATTAATAATTAAAACTAATCTTTAACATTGTTTATTATACTTCATAATATATAATATTCGTTAGGCAAACTTTCACTTTGATAAAACCCGGGCGAAGCCGGGTACACATCCGCTAGTATGAAATAATTGATAAATATACATATACAGTTAAACCTGTCTATAGCGCCCCTTCTAAATAGCGTCCTCCTCTCTATAGCGCCCGAATTTAAATATTAAAATGTAAGCATTTTACATTAGAAGTGACCTGTCTATAGCACCCTATTCTGGTGAGTCCCAAGAGGGGACGCTATAGACAGGTTTAACTATATATGTATTGTGAGAGGGACTCTAAAGATTTTATTTGTCTGCCCACAATAAATAAAGTTGTTGGATGAGTTGGCTCCTGGCGTTGAAATGTCGACTGATATCAGGATGACAAGCTAGATAATGAAAGCTGATGTGAGAATTAACAAGCTGAGCTAGGGTTTTTTGCTTACTTGATAGCAACGGAAACATTTAGTCACCCTCTTTCTGAATTAGATTTTGTATTCAATAGTTCATATTGAGAGGAAAATAAGAGAATTGTTAAAATATATTAATAATCTTAATGTTAAGTTTGTCGTGAAGGAAATAGTAGGGTGAATGCCTTATTACCTCTCCATGTTGTGTATGCATTCAATTTATTAATTAAAAAACCTATTGTTTAATATCTTCTAACACATTTCATATTTAGGTTATTGAATTATCCACATCAGGTTAAATAAATGATGGAAATCCTATCAAAATTGGTTTCATAACTATTTGGTTTATGGCGGTTTGGAAATAACTAATAAAATACTATCAAACAAATGCCACGGGTCTCTGTAGATTCTACAGGAGATCTCCAGAGACTCATGACATTTTTTATTAATATCCAGGAGATTTAAATCAATTGATACTGTTATATAGGATCAGTATAACTTCATCTTAATATGGACGAGGACAATCACACGTCTTTGAAAGTTGGAAATTGATTCTAAAGACGGATAAACTTGCTATTAGGTCAATGGTATTAGAATGTAGAAGGCCAGGGGGAAACTACAGTCATATTTTTCTTATGAAAATCCTTTTTTTTTTTGCTTATCCCTAGTACACGTGGTACAGGCCATGATAATCATGGTGGGTAGTTAGCGACTGCTTTTACTGTAAGCGCACCACATGTCTACACATGTGAAAAGCAGTTCGACTTTGCACTTACAAATGCCAGAGCCCCGTTTGGTTACTTGCACTCGCTGGTGGGGTTGGACTTTTGCAAGAATCGGGGGACCATTGGAGCATTTTTTTT